ATCTTCTATGGTCCCTATGAGCTAATTGGCAGAAGTTTTGCAAAGGAAAGTGGTCTCACCAATATTCAATGCATCCTGGGACATGTCACCTAGAGTAGCAGATGAAGATATGTAAGCTAAAATAATTTTCAAAATGTGTTTGGCAAGATCCTTTATGAGATGCTACACATTTTCTTAAGCTATCCTCTATGAGAGACAAAATATAATGAATTGGCTAGGTGAGCAAAAGCAAAGAGGAGGATTAAACAATCATTTTTTCTTAATGGTCTGGTGATGTGATTGTGGCAGCAAATGAACACCAAGGTTAATACACATGGCTAGAATTTAAATCTAAATGAGCCTGRATTCACTACTTTTTTTTTTAATTGCAATTTCTCTGAATCAGTTCAACCATTACAAGTATCACATGCCACACAGCAAGATTGATGGCACTAAATAAATAGCATTGCCTTAAGTCTAGAGTGAATGCTATTATTTACCTCTGCATGGTACTTTTCCTGAAAAATTACCTACAAGCTCGGGTTAAAAGCCCCAAACAAAACACGTCCAAGCACTCATTAATCCACAAGAAATGCCTTGTTATTTAATTGTTGCTGTAGAGACGAGGGCACACAATACTATAGATCTCTTTATCTAAAGATTTTGTCTCCGGCAAGAAGAAGAGCCCAGTTGGTGTGTTGACTAAGATTAACTAGACTTAGACCTTTATAACCTGCAGAACTAGGCATTTATATATAAACTGCTGGAAACTGATTTACTACAAGGGGAAATGAACTTGGACGTAGGATTGYAGTATGTATGTGAAAATGTACTACCGCTACCACCATGAAGACCTCACAATGGAACTGTAATAACCTTTACAGAGAGAAGAAAATGTCCAAAAAAAAAAAATTAATTAATTCAAAAGAGTGTACAGAAGTCTACTGAAATTTTGATGGTACCCAGGTGTATTTTCTCCAGGTCATTAGCACCCACGGGAGGTAAAAGGCAACATGGAGCTCTCTGCCCACCGGSTGTGGGTCAGTGTAAGGTGTTGAGCATGAGTCCAACCAAACCTGCTTGTCCCTCATGCAGTGCCCATGTCCCTCCGCTAGTGAGGGACTGGGTTGTGCCCAGTGGGAAATCCCTACGACTTTCTCCTTGCCCACTTCATTTCAAGCAATGTTGACCCAAGCAGACGCCTCACAGCATCTAAGCATCATTTGGGAGAGACATCAGGCCATGGGAGGAGGTCGACAGTCAGCTTTAATAAACTGGCCTGAAGTTAAGCACAAATGCACTCTTGCTCGTGTATTTTTTAAATGGTTTAATCACAGCTTCACAAATGCACTCTTGCTCGTGTATTTTTTAAATGGTTTAATCACAGCTTCACTCGGGTCTAGAAATCTTCGATTTTCCCACTTCTGGACCCCAAGTGATATCTTAGTGGTTGGTTTCATTAACATTTTCTACAATTCTAAAGTTAACAACTAGATCAGGAGGAAAATCTGTATTGCTTTAAAATTAGACCATTATCTTATAATGGMTGGAACTGGATGTTTCAGTATTATACTTCATTCATTTATGATACAAAAATCCCTGCTTTTACTCTTTCTGATTCCAAAAGTCTTTTGTGTCAACAAAATTGATGTTGTAGCACCAATTTCAAAGTGCAGAGGACTTTTAATTACATTTTAATTATTAGTGCCTTTCAACAGGACATTCAAAACATTCCTTTTAGTCCTGGGATTATTTTGTGCCAAATCTGCCAGTCCCGAAAACCCAGGATAGATAAGTTAGCTGATCAGAATAGAGAGACGTATGAGATTTTACTTCAACAACAAAATTTGAGTCCTTTCTGGCTAGTTCATCAGTTATATTAGAARGTAGTAACCCTTTGAGCTTACATTATCAAACAAGTTTCACACTACCTATTAAAAAGATGATACATCACAGCTAGTGCTCTTAAACTGCATAAAATGTCTTCATATAGAGCCTAAAATCGCAAGAGCTGGCAACATTGGGCCATATTCTAGGTTTGTTTCTACCTGCCACTGACCTTGCAAAGTGCTGATAATTGCTCAGTGCCTAAACCCTTTTTCCTGTTTTTGAGATTCTGTTCTCGGCAGCCAGGAAATTGTGCACACAGTTCGATGTTTCCCTTTTTCAAAAATATTTTATTGCCTTTGAAACTTGCCACTACGCAGTTGTGAAGAGCTGTAGTTTGGAGGAAGGAGTATTTTTCAAATAAGTTTTCTCATTTTTTATTTATTGTTTTCTAATTCTAGTTCATTTTTAAATTGTCTGAATTCTAAATGGTAGTGATAAATACACCATATGATCACAATTCAAAATACTGTTCCAGCAAATTCACATTCAGAGAGGTGATAATTCTTGATAATGGCAATTACTAACCCTGGTAAATATCTGTGATCTTACTAAATATTTGTGTCAGAAAGGGTTACATCAAATTTAAATTATGTACAGAGCTTTATTATATACCACAACACAAAGTGCAAATGGAGAAAAGAAGCTAGATGGGAAAAAAAAAAAAAAAAAAAAAAAAAAAAAAAAAGACCATTAAGACCATATTTCATTGAAGTGTGGATGAGAAATAATCTTGGGGAAAAGAAGAAATGAAAGATTTTTGACATGTCAAAAAAAAAGGTCACCCTTATTTTTAATCAGCACTGTCGTCCTTTCCACGGATGGAGGTGTCATTGTCAGACCTGGGCAGGCAAGGGAGGAGGAACGAGCTCTCCTCTCGTAACAGATTGGTTTCTATATGGCATAGAGCACACTTCTTGGAAGATGTTTCCATAAAGGTGACAGTGGAGGTCAGCAATCACATAACCTGGAGGAACTGCTTCTTGGGCAAATGGAAATCATAAGTACTTAATAGTGTATTTTAGACATAGGGTATCTTTGGGTCAAAGCCACCAGAAGCTCCCGCTCTGGCTGTCCCGATCCTTCCCTTGACAGAACTAAAATAAAGTATTGCTCTTCAAAAGAAAGGGCCACATAGTTCATTCTTATGCATAGTTTTGGGTTCAGCATCCCATCTTGTAGAGAAAAGCACTTAGCTTCTTCGGGAGAGTGGGAACACCTTTAGTCTGTATTCATCTCATTATTGAAAAAATGAAATAATAATAATAATTAAAAAGAAAAAGGCTTGCTATAAATGAGAAAGCTCTCCTTGTTCGGATCATGGCCTCAGGATTGTGCAGATCTCCTTTCTATCAACTTGCCTTCRTAAACCCTTACTGTTGGAATAATTTTCCATGTGTAATTCGTTTATCTTTTGGAAATGACAGCACGTGTGTCAGGCAGCAGGAGGGCTGCTTACTTCCAAATGTCAAATGGCCTGGGTTTGGTTGTCTGTGTTTAAAGAACTTACTTACTGTATATTAAAGATTACTATGTACTGCTGTAGTTGGCACTTATCAGATACCCGAGTCATAAGATGAACAATCTGCCTCGAAGAACTGAAAAGCAAAGCAGTTCTCATACTGAAACTGCAAAGCAGAAGGTGCTCCGATTAGAGGCACCCACATAGATTACGGAAGTATAATAAATCATGTAATTCTTTAGCCTCAAATAAAATAAAATAATGTAGTTTTTATTAGGAAATAAGGTGTTTAGCAAGAACACATTGGAGGTGACATTTATTACTTATAAATTATATTGAAAGGACTGATCCTTTTGTTGGCAGAACATCCGGAGACTTTCGACTCTGTAAAAAATGCCCCAAATCAGTCCGTGCAGGGTCAGAAAGTGTTTCCCTGAATACTGATAAAGGATAGGCAAGAGATTCACATGCACCTTTTTCAGATTAAAAAAAAAAAAAAAGTTTCTCATCTATTTACAATGAAATGAGTCATGGAAATATAGCTCCAATGTTATTCTGGGCCTCACAATAGATCTCAGCACAACACCATGGAATATTCCCGTGAAACAATCCCACAGTCAGTTAATGAGACCAAAAAACTGGCAAAGGATCTGCTAGACAAATTCTTGATAGTGTCAGTGAGCCCATAGCAAGGCAGGATGTTGTTTGCTTTTCAGTTCTTGAAACTTATGGACTGACTCTTCAGGGTTGTCACATTCATATTTGCACTTATGTCACACTCATTACTTCACATTTTAATCGTGTTGAGTTCTTACGTGCCAAATATTGTGCGTGTTGCTGCTGAACATGTTGCAAAAACAACCAGTAACAGGCTACTCTGGAGGAGAATATGAATGTAATATGAATGTTGTGTCTCAKCAGGCTATCTCTTATCTGAAGAGTTTAGTTGATAAACTAAACCAGTTAGCCCCTCACTCCTGCCAAAGCAGCTTTGCTTTGGAGACCAAATCATTCCAGCTTGAAAACCAGTGGTGTGACCTACCTGAGGGAATGTTGAAAATGACTGCATACAATCATTTAGGTAATAAAAATGTCCTTCAAAAAAAAAAAAAAAAGGAAGAAAGAAGTGGCAGTGGAGCTCATTTAACATCTTTACAACAAAAAGAAAAAAGGCGATAAGGCTATTACATGAACGAACATCTGATCAAGTTCAGGGCTTTAAGCATTTGTCATTCTGACCTCGTCTGTGAAATCTGTTTTATGATGAGTCCATAGTGTGCACCCCATTCCTTGGTCATGAACTGAAATTTCTATTCTCATGCTACTGAAAAAAAAAAAAAAAAAAAAAAAAATCTGTTATTCTCATCAATGAGAATACACTGAGTGTTTAAAACGTGGTTGCAGATTGTCAGAAAAATCAAACTTCTTGCACTTAAGATGCATTAACCGTTCAAGAAAATGAAATGGTGCTTAAGAACTGCTCTCAAGAGTCTGTGATAAAAATCAATGTAGCTCTTGTGTTGTCTAGATTATATGTAAACTGGGCATTTCCTAGAAGCTACAGTGACTTAAATATTTCACTGCCCAGACATTCATGCTACTGATATACTATTATTGTCTCCTATTCCATTGACTTTCTAAATACAGTTTGCTGTACAATATTATTTTTCAGGAAATGACCCATTCTTGGCCTCCGCCGCTGTCAGCTATTCATACACCAGGCAAGGTAGAGCAAAGCAAGTTTCCCTTCCCAAACAAGGTAAGACACTCAGTATAACATAGACTCGTGCCTCTCCCACCTCAGAAAGTCCTACGTGAGCTGTGACTAGGTCAGTGATGGCCCAGCACTGAAACCCATGCAGTGCCAATGACCTTTTCCATGGGGATGCCAGTATGCCCTGCCTCTCAGAGAGTCTACAGTCTCCTGCAGAGCTTGTAGTGAGGGTAATAATTACAATTGCAAGGCCAAAAGTCTTTACAGATTGCCTGTGCTAAAAGAGTTTATCTGTGATGACTATGTCATGGTTTTAAAGTGCCAGGGGTGCAAAGCAAAACATCTCCATTATGTTATGGCAGAAAAAGAAAGGAAATAACCGATTGTGCATTGAAGGCAGTAGATTGAGGATGGTGAGGGAGCGGGTAAGTGCAGCAGGAGATGGGTCTGCAGCTCATCCACAGGTGAAGTGGTCAGTTGGGCCTGACAGCAGCCAAGCTCTGGCATACCTGCCATGGTGGCCCCATCGGATGCATTGGTGGGGCACAGGCACAAGAATGTTTGTGGGTAAGGCATGAACACCTCAGCACATCTGTCTGACCTTCCTGGATGCCTCACAACTAAATGCATTCTGATAAATCGAGCAATAAYATAATCACATCAAACAGGCCAAAGATAACATTAATAAGTGGTGATATTGACTTTCTCATCTTCTCTCTACCTGTTCATCCATCTGTCTGGGAAATATTCTAGCAGATCAGACTGTGGAGCCATTTAACAAGCCTTCTCCAGATAGTTTCATTATCTCTCAGCAAAGTAGAATGTCCATTTATTTAAGCTTTGAATGGACCAGATTTCATATGACAATGGCATGCATTTAACATGTATTTAACATATATTAACAAGTTAACATGTATTAACATGTATTTACATGCATTTAACATATATTATGGAAAAATCCCAAATATCTGGCSCTGGACAGTCACATGCTCAGGAAGACATCTGCTTTTCAGATTCCAAAATGCATAATTTTATAAACATGTTTCTAAAACATTCCTAAACTAGCTATTTGCATTTTACAAAGTGTAGCATTAAACCACACTTATTGAATCTCAGGGGGGTTGACCTCATAACTCTTAGGAAGCTTTCTCCCCGATAAGCTATGGAGCTGTCCCAGCTTCTCTTGTTAGAACCTGTGCTGTGCACCAAGCCATAGTGCATTGCCTGTTACTCACAGAAATGGCTCTGTCAGTCAAATAGAGGCAAAAGCCAACAAAGACGTGAAAATGCTGAATTCAGAGCATTGGCTCTTACTTCCAAGCAGTGCATGGTACTGTGAACTCATTTCTTTGTGGAACTGCAAGAGATCATTTCGGTTCATTTGCAACAGCTATTCCAGCCAACTCCAAGGGAACAAGTAGGCTGCAACCCTTCATTAACAGGAAAAAAAAAAAAAGCCTCCCAGATGCCAGGATGCTAACAGTTCTGAGAATGAGAAAAACAGAAGCTTGGAGAACTCCTGGCCTGTTGCAAGGATGCAAATCATTCTCACTTTTCTGCCTATAAAAATTGAGGATCAGCATCATTAATTCTTACACATACCAATCCACTTTTAACCTGCAGCTCAACTAATTAGTGATTTGACAGCTTGAAACTTGAAATTTATTAATTAGGCTATTAAAGTTGCAAAGGCCACAGCAACAACAACCAGGCTGGTTTTGAAATCAGGCTGGCAAAAAAAAAAAAAAAAAAAAAGGAAATAACTGAATTTCATATATCACAAACCTAATATACATATTCCAAAATATCTGCATTTATATTACTATATGCTCTCTGTAGATGTGGGGGTGCATGTGCCTATGCTGTATATGTATAAAAAATTAGATCTCCACTAACACTGAAGAAATGCATTAATTCACAACAGTGGGAGGAAAGTCAGTGTCAAGAGTGAAATGTGTGGCATGTCCAGCAGATTCTCCTGAACAACCCTGCTGGGCAAGTGTATTTAAGGAATTATCCTTTATATGATAGAGGACRAAAAGTTACTTTTCATTTTTAACTTAAAATTTTCTTTCTCTGCAGAATTAATTTGTACTCTTGAATTTACTATGAAGGGGTCTCTTGATTTCTTGTTTTTCCAAAGCTAAAGGGTAATTGAATCCATATGTGCTCTATGTTCTTTCCTTTATCCTATCTATATCACACTTTGTTATGTACAAATGATTAGGCATTATTTGATTGTAATTTTATTACAAACATCTTAATAAATAAACTTTAAATGAATAATTAAATTGGGCAAGWAAGAGCCCATTTGATGCTTGTGTGAGTGAACATTCATGTTCAGGCAGTAATTCTCTAGTCTTGCATAGGAAAGAGATGCTGTTAATTCTGCTGCCCAGTTTGCTATGTTTCTTCATTTTTACTATGATTTTCTATSTTGAAAGCTTGATCTGATTTTTGATTTCTGTTTGTATGATATTACAGGGTCAGCCATTCTTTTTTTTAACTGAGAATCAATTTATCCACTCCAGGAAAATCAGTGTCTTTTCACAAAAGTATCAAATGATTATTCTCAGTAAAAGCTTAGTTTTGATATTAACATTATCTTTCCAGTGGTCAATTCATTTACTTTTCCATGTTATTTTAATAAGCTCTATGAAATGCATTAGAGAAAAAAAATAAAAAACCAAAAACCTCAAAAGTGAAATATTCACCTTTTCTTTCTAGGATATAAAAAGGCACAGTTTTTCCTGCCTTAGTGGGTGCATCCTCTATTTCATTGTAGCATTTTTATTTTAGCTTTTATCGTTAAGGATAATTTGTTGAGAAATGAGACACTAATTTTAAAGAATCTGTTAAAAGGAGAAATGAAAATGTTGTAGCTCATATATTTTGCTGATGTCAAGTCTGAGACTGTGCAGGCTCAATGGCAGAGGTAAGATATTGCATGATGAATTAAGGTAGACAGTTTAAAGGGGAGGGTTAACCCCCAAGTTGATGAAAATGTGGAGGACTGTGGGAAAGCAGGGAAAGTGAGGAAACACCTGCAAATGGTGAGCAAGAGCCTTGTTCTGCAGTTTCAGACATTTTTACAAACTTGACTTTGCATTTCTCCAAATAATTCTATACTCCAAAACAAAAAACAAGCCAGTCATCTACAGATACATAAATTCACTGCTCTGAAACTGGCCTTGCTCTAACAGACTATTTTTCTTATTCATAACATTCAAATTCAAGTGTATATGTCGCCACATCACTATTGCAAGTAGATCTCGACTTCTTAAGATTATATTCAGTCACCAGAAAAAGACAGGCTTTAATGTCTCTTCATCAGAAGCAATCATAAAAGGCTAAGACAATTTGTCAAAAGTAGACAATTTCAAATTATTGGGAAATTACTGTCATGATTTGAGACATGGTGCTGGTCTTTTACTACTATAAATGAAGGTATAAACTCTCAAGACTTGTCCAAAAATTCGATATCTCACTTTTCAGCCATGTAGGATGGCAGTTGATAGCAGATATGTATTACAGCCATATAAATTAAAGATAGTGCAGCCTGGAGAGCCTTGACTCCAAAGCAGATGGTGCAGTTGGAAGGAATTGGCCGGCCAGGCGCAAGAGATCTCAGGACCTTCAGTCCAGAYAACCGTCATTCAAACACGCAAAGAAACTCTTGTGGCCCTGAGCGCTCAAGGCGTGTTTTTATGTGACTAATCCATAAAGTCTCTGCTTGTCCAGCCCAGAGGGTAATCAAGGCCTCTGGRGACTTCCCTTCCCTTTCTTTAAATCTCTACCTGAACCTACAGGCTCTGCTGAGCCAGCAAGAAGATTGCTCAGAGGGGCATTAGAGGACAAGCAAAAGAGAAGGGAATTATTTTAAGCATATTTTTCTATGCTTTTATGCTTTTTTTTCCCAAGAGCAACATAAATTCTGAAGTCGCCTAGGTTTTTACCTTAAGGAAAGCTACAGACTTTCTGTTACAGACTCAACTGTTCTTCCTCTTCAAAATGTAGCAAAAAATCTACGCATACCAGTTTTTGCCTGGAAGTAAAATGAATAAATATAAATGAATAAATATATATAAAAATAAGAACCCAAAGTCTCTGGCTCGGCTTTTGGCTGTGTGCTCAGCCTCGGTGGGCCAACCATCAAGTTCAAGGTCCAATTCCTCCCTGAAAACGAAGGTGCCTGTTGCAGAGGGGTACTTGCCCTGTCAGCGTAGTCTCTGCTGTCACAACTGCATGCTAAAGTATATCCATGTGCATGTTTATGTTGTTCAAAAACAGAGTCACACACGGCAAACCTTCCAGGTTGCCCTCCATAACCTACGGCACCATGGGCTCAGCTTCTRGCATGGTGGAAGGTGCTGCACTGGGTCAGTGTTTGTATTAAAATCCTTTAGGGGCACAGTAGAAGTATTTAAAATATTTCCAAGGAATAGTTGGCCAGAAAATGGCCTATTCTGTGCTGATTTTATGCTAACTGAATTTCCAATTTTTGGTAGTGAGAAGAGCCACTAACATCCAATAGAAATAATAGCAAGTAGTGAATGTCTATCATTAATGTGAAACTAGTGCTTCTTACATTCATACTTAAAAATTGACCATCACTGGACAGTGATGCTTAAGATGAAGCAGATTTGAACATATTGAGTCAGGAGATTGAATGTGGAACTGATTACCAGCAATGTTTTCTCAAGTCAGATGTTTTCTGGTTGTGTTGAAAGTCAAGTGTTTTCTGGTAAGATTTTTTTGTCATTTTATTTTTTCAATATCCACAGTAGCATTCTTTCTTTTTTTTATTCTTGAGATAAGGGAGAATAAGTAGGTTTACTTGATTTTTTTTTCTTTTTTTTTCTTTTTTTTGATTATCTTTTTATTATATTTGTATTTTTATGCATAGGTTTCTTTTTCATTTTTATGAATGCAAACAAATTCTGTGTGTAAAATATGTGAGCAATTATATGTGAAGAAAAAAAATGGTCTGATTTATTGCACCGCACGAATTAGTATTGCAGTTTTGATACAAGGCTGACCTTGTAACCTCAGGGAGCCAGAACCAAAGCCTGTATTTCCATTCTCCAGTGCTCTGGATATCAACATGTGAAAAGAAAAGATCAGCCGTGCTAGTACTTCAAGAATCCAATGGCCCATGAAACAATATTGGTGTTCCTTCTGTCTTCTCATCTAAACTTCTAGAAAATAATAGACCAGTTTGGGCTGATCAATAAATGAATAGTGAGCAGGAAACAGGTAATGGCTATACAAGGAATTGCACCATTAACGGGTTGTCATGAAATCAGTTTACAAGCTGTAGAATTAATGCATTTTCAAAGAAATATTGGCTTTATTCTTGCAATTGAAAATGACTTTTAAATGGAATGAACAATTAGCAATGCTGTTTTTATTGTTAAGGTAATGTTCAAGTAAGTATTACAGCTAAAATTTACCATTAAAATAACACTGTATTTTTTTGTTATTATTGCAGGACTCACAACAGGGACCCACAGGCCACAGCAATACAAGTACGTACTGCCTTGTTTTACAGCTGCATCTAGGGAGATGTTGGCCATGATTATGAAAACCAAGTGAAGGACAGAGTATTGACCCAGCAGTAGACTGGGAGGGTGCAAAGTCTGAGCTAAATGGGGAGAATTGGATTCAAGAGCAGCCATGAGAACATGCCTTAGATGGATGCCTTAGATGGTGCCTTAGATGGGATGGATTGAAAAGGAGAAAATTGACAAATTGCATGGGTATGGACACCGCCACATCCAGACTGCCATAAAATTCTGCAAAAATACTTGCTCATCGTTGTCTTTTATAGGCAAGGGTATACTTGTGGCACTGTAATAAACTGTGGATAATTCTTGACAGACTAATGGCCAATAATGTCTCTGAAGGCATGTGGCTGTGGGGATTTTGCTAACTTGTAGTGTGGGGAGGGTGGAGGTAGTGGTGGGTGTCTCTCAGCAGGCTCCAGAGATCAACATTACTTTAATTACATTTAGTTACAGAAAAAAAAAATAAAAAAACCTTAGCAACTGTATTGAAAGAGAGAGAAATGTTCTGTGACCCAAAGTATTAATCCTCTCCCCTGACACCTCTGACTGTTGCTAATGTTGTCTTGCATATTAAAAATACATGATCCTTTCCTGCTTTCAACACAACATCATCTCAACCCGAAGCACTAATTTGTTTGCTCCCTGACCACTCACAGAGCTGTGAGCAGGATACACAAATAAGCCAAGCACAGAGGGTCATGGTGGCCCCAGAAGGCCACAGTGTTTGCATGGCTTTGGTCATGCCTGCAAGACCATGCCTCCAGTCACTCTGCTCATCAAAATCAGCATATGTTGTGGCCAGGCTGGAGGTGGACCASTTGGCCAGCAGCAGTGGCTGGTGGCAATCAAATGCCACAGAGACCTGCTGAGCTCATGCTAACACCATCTAACACCATTTCCTCACTGGTGTCACAAGTTAGGGTTGTTGTCCTCAACCCGGTCACCACTCTTCCTAGCATTAGAAAAGGATTTTTTCTCTGAGACCTGTATGTGAGGGTGATTCCTGTTGAGATGCTGGAATAAGACGTTAAATAAGACACACAATTAGGTGGAATAAGACCTGAACTCCGCCAGTTATGAACATCAAACTCAGTAGAAATTCAGGGAAAAAATATAAGTTTGAGGAAATTATAAAGAATGACTCCATGTGGGAAAGATTYCTAATGGTTTATACACTGCATTATCCAGTTGTACATCTTTGAAGTCCCAGTTACCTCTTATTCCCCATTTCACCATGTCTTCTTTGGAGTGGCTCTTGAATGCATCATTCGTAGTGTTTTCATTCCAAATGCAAACATTGTCTTTCTCAGAAATAATGTTTACATTTCTCTTATCCTTCCTCAACAAGGAAATTAGAGCATTTTAAAACTCTCAATGGATGAAGTTATACCACCCTTTTAAGCTGGAGTGTTATTTATCCCAGTTACCCAGTTACCCGATCAGGCTGAGTGATACACCCAAATTGTAACACAGAGGCAAAAACTTCCCTGGCTTTCCTCTATTCAAGAGGAAAATCCTACTCAAAAAGAAAATGTTATTTTGAAATGTATTTTAAAATTGGGTAAGTCTGGACACATCTAATTTGGTAGTATCTGAAATGTTGAGAAGTTAATTCTGTCGAGATAGTAGAAATTGGCAAAGAGATCCCAGGTCTTTGGCTAAGCATGTGAGAACTGCTGTTCACCAGAAGCTTGTGTAGCTGGATGCATGCATGTGAATACCTGTACACACACACACATCCACACCTGCTTCAGAAGACACATATAGACAGTTCGTAACTTAGTTCTTCTTGAAATGAAGTTTCCTAACAGCTCCATTGTGAAAGAGGTGGGGTASGTAGCATATCCTTTACCAACTCCAGAAAGATTAAGAAAAACCACACAGATTTTGCCCACACAAATAAGCCAGGACCATAGAGGATTTAGTAATTCAGCAAATATCAGCCTCGCACAATGGTTCCGCGTGCATTTGGTGAGTTGTGTGAAAAATGGAAAACAAATCTTAGTCTGGCCAGAAATGAGTGTGAAAAGCCAAGTTGCTCTGATAGATAATTCCTTTTTACATACACTTATCCACATTTATATCAGTACTGTGTCTGTGACAGTCATCATGCGTAGTCTCTATCCATTTTGTAAATTGCTGGGATTCAGTCAAATGTGARCAAAGTTGGTTAGAACTGATAAAGCATTAATGACCGGATTTTCTACTCTGATGTGCTGGACTGATGCATTTCTAGCATCTCTGTGAGTTTCATTCTCTCTCCCCTCACAGTTATGTAAAATGGTTATTGGTAAAAAAGCAGCTACAAATATTTATTGTAGAGTAATTCATTAATATCTGGTTTGGATAAATTTGCCTTTTCTCTCTCCTTGTCTTTAGTCTTCTTCTCTTGTTGCTACATCAGCATCTATTGCTAAAGAGGGRCTAATGTGAACTCTCCTCGCAAACCCATATTCCTCCTCACACACAAACAAACCAGTATTCATGGTAATAAATCATCATTTATTAAAAAAAAAATTAAGTTACAAATAGAAAATATTTGAAAATAAATGTCAACTGTTACTGTTGGTTTTGTGTTCCAAATTACCATAATGCTGTAGAGCTCCAGAGCATCAGGTCCCTTAAACCTGACAAATGTGTCATGTAGCATCAGCTTTCTAACCAGCCAGTTTCTTATATGGGARTGCTTTCTGAGGTCACTGTTAAAAGAGAAATGGGATCTGGAGATTATGAATTCGATGCATCACATCTCATGTGGATGTCCAGCTTGTGCTGAAATTTTCTGGAAGCCAGCATTGACACCCCAAGAGTGTGTGAAAACTGAGGCTGTAGCAGCAAATGGCTATGTAACGCTTAATTTCACGGGGCTGGTCCAAAACTCACTCAAGTCAACTGGCAAATTGATAAGGAATTGAAGAGAACACCAAAACAGCTCAACACAAGTAAGCAATTCTCACATTGGTTTTCAGATGACACAGGTCTATTTTGATAAAAAAAAAAAGTTCATGAAAAGATAATGGAGGAAAAAGAAAAACATATTCAACAGCCAGCTAGTCACGCTGAACCTCTGTGCCTCTTTGTCTGCTAGGCAACATCAGCTCATATGTAGACAGCTATCAGCACCCAGCTACAGGAGGGGAACAGCAGCTGCAGCTGCACAGATGCTTGGTACAAAAATCAATATAGAGCATGCAATGCTGTTTTGGAGGTTGAAAGAGGCAGAAGGAGTTTCCTGACCTGATTTAATGAAAGTAGTACCACTGCATCCAGTGGCAGCGCTCTCTCTTGTATGTGTACCGTGGAGCTAAGTTATGTTTGTCAGATATGTTTTTGGACCCAAAAGGGGATCATCACAGGCTATGCCAGGACCCGCATAATTGAGTTGTGAGGAATCATGAAGAAGCRTCACTCAGGCCTCTGATACTTCTCAAGCATTTGGGTACCTGACGTCTTTTGGGGTCAGGAGCCTAAGGCAGGATAGTGCTTTCCCATACCAAAGAGTGAAAAGGGCTTCCCTAGYCCCCATTTACCAGAGCCAAAGAGCAAACTTTTACTCTGTCAGAAGCAATGTGAACCCGAGCATCCATCTATAGATGCATCCCCTAATCATGGCTTTAGTAGCTCCTACCTAAAAACTTAGTTGCACTGCTGATGCTATTCCACATTATATAAAATGTCTATCTTCCCAGCATTTGAGAGCATGTGCATATTGCAAGCACTAACCCTACAGCAGAGCCATAAGGCTGAGACAAATCATTTTCCAAAGAACCCAAAGGCTGTTATCCCTGCTAAGGTGGGGGCATTACTTGAGGCTTTCTGTCATCTCAGTAGCTTCTCCTGTGGAGTTTCCTCGGCTGACATTTCATGTGCCAGTGACAAGAAAAGTCAGGTCAGGGTTGATTCACAGTGTGCAAATGCTCCAGCAGTGCCCCAGCAGCCGGGAGGCTGCCTCAGCAGCATTTGGTTGTGCACATGGAAAGAGCACTCCGTGTCAGCAGAGAGCTGTGATGTGTCACATCTGAGCAGTTTCCATATTCACCCCTTCCTAACGTTGTTTTCTTCTTCTTTTAAAGGAAAAAGTGATGTAGAGCCAAAGAGTCCAGAGAAAAGTGCAACYCATACATCGTAAGTCACTTTTGCATTTCGAACCAAAGAAGGGGTCTGTGCTTTTGATAGATTTGTTGGGCAAAATAGAATTTGTCTGTTTAGTTTGGTTAAGATAAAGCTCTTTCACTGATGCTGTTCCTTAAAAGGCTTTTTAGATAATGACAACCTTAATTATTCCTACAACTTCTGCATGCTGCTAAGTCAGAGATTTTCCCAAGTGAGATGGTTTTATATCAAGGTAAGAAGGTAGGAAGTGATTTTTGTGGGTGCGGAAGTCTGGCCTCTACAACCTAACTTCAGCGTTACCTCAATGCTGTTAAAAAAGATCGTGTCACATATGCCTTTGATGTACTGATGTAATTTTAAAAGACTGCAGTCTGCAGCTTCACCTCTGAATTACTTGAAATCCAATTACAGCTATCTCTAGTCTCTCACGATTTTGTTGATGTTTTTGAATTAACAAAAGTCAAGAAATAGATAGGAACAGGCGCTTGTAATATATCAGTGTTCATCTTCACTCTAGTGCTACAATAGAGGCTTTTACCATTTTTAACTCTAGCATACAAAGGACTGAATTGTTTTGCCAACATAAACCACTCTATGAAACAGATGGGCTGCAAGTTAAAAAAATAAATAAACAGCATCCGTCTCCCAAACTGAGCTGGATAAGTGAATTCCTTTAGTATCTACCAGTCAGAAGAGGTTAGGATTTTTGCAAAACCTTTCACCCTTTTTATCCTATTTGAGGGAGGGAAGTTCTTGTTAGCAGTCAGTTATGTGAATTTTAGAGTTCATCTTGCCTGGGATTTATGTTTTCTGAGTACTGTTATTTAAATTCAGGGTGCTATATCATGTTAATCTTGCAAGGTGTCATCATTTGTTACATGGCCAAAAGTAGTCACAGAAGGAGGTACAATAAGGGTGATTTATGGGGGACTGTTTTGATTTCTGCTGCAAGTACACATTAAAAATCTCTTGGAAATGAATCTAGAAAAAGATTTGACATGGTGTAAGAAACGGCTTGTCTTGGAGATTGTGTTGTGGAATGTAATTACAGTATGTGAGCATATTTAGCCAAACTTATTAAATGAATTAAGCATTAGGAGCCTTATGCCTTTTGATAGTATGATTGCTGGGAATAGTTAATAGAACAATTCCAATAATTATCATTTTTAAAAATAATATTGCAATAAAGACCGAAAGAAGAAGGGTTTTAATGCCATCTGGAGGTATTTTGGAGAAATGAACGCATTTATTTCTCCTGATATTTAGCAATATGCAAAACATAATCAGTCCTCCAAAGTGTTTTTTGCTAGTTAAATGGTATTTTATTCATGAGGCGTGCTCTCCACTTCCTTTTCTTTTCCTTCACTGGAATAAAATTCTGCAAGATGTCTGAACCAGGAATGCCCTGGCCCATTTATGGGTTTAGTCTGAGACTACATGCTGTGTCATGTAATGTGCTATATTAAATACAGCAAACTTGAAAATCTGATTAGGTGTGAAAAGCTGCTTGCCTCATGAGAGGTACAAGCTTGTGAAACTATGCACCATCTATTGCGTGCAGAATATTTCTGCTGCTCCTCTTTGAATCATTACCATATGCTAAAGGTTACCCCACAGCAGATACTGGTTCCTAGTGCTATTTTTAGAAGCAGAAAGGACAGGTTACCACTGATAAATGAAGAGGCTTCTGTYGTTAGAGGAATGGCTTGTGTGGGAAAGGAAGTAGGTGGGGAAGGTGGTCATTAAAGGAAGGGAACAAGCACATACAGTGGCAGAAAAGGAAGAAAATGTGAGTGCTTGAGTCAGGAAAGATGAAGATAAAATACCAATGTTGAATTTACAGGACATATAAGACCAGGAGCAGTGAAAGAGAAAGACAATGGTGAAAAACATTGCAAAGAGAAAGAAGGGAGTGTAAAATGGGCAATAGACATTAGCAAGCTAGAATATACTTATATTTGAATAGACTACTGAGCACCTGAGTGTTACAGTGAGGCAAATTAACTCATTTTAACATGCTGGTTAAACACAGATGCCCCAAATCCTACTATGCTATGTGCTATTTCCCTGGACTTCTTTGGATTTCCACCTTCTGTTAAGACAGATTTCTTATCCCTGGTTCTCAGGGAGTCATGAGACTGGTTAGAGACACCCAAGGGGGCACGAACAATGCAAGGGGTCCCTGTGTGAAAGAAGGCAGTGCTCTCTGGTGAGGTGTTGATCCCCTGGCCGTGCCCAAGGAGCCTGGTAGGCACCATACTGGAGGGGTGTCCCAAAGGAGTGATGTTGCCATAGGCAGAGTGGCACAGCAGAGCCCACCGGGAGAAAACCRTGGAAAGTCATGAGGACTTCACTGTGAATGCACTTAGCTGTGAGTCATCATTTCCTCGCAAAGAAATAAACAAAACAGCAAGAAATCCCACAAAGCAAGTCACAGTGGCCTGGGCAAAAATAAGAGAAAAGACATGGAGGAGCAAATTAATGTTTTTCTCTCATAAATGTCTTTTTTATTTTCCTCAGGCATGTCAGAAGCGACACGCTCAAGCCAAGTTTATATGACTCAGTGGCAGTTAATTCACCCTTGGTATAGATTTACTACCACCATCTACATGTTATTTATGTGGCTTCAAAAGACAGGTTGATTACCCTCCTGAATCAGGTGGTGAGGGACTCATGAGCTGATCATTTCCATGAAGTCTCCCCTCCAGAGATTACTCGTTGCTTATCCACCAGGCTCTAGGACCTCAAAAGCTGTGATCTGGAGTCTCAGGGACAAAGTTACTACTATCTGTGATCTCTGAGGGTATGGAAATGTGGAGCACAGCATGTGTGGTATTCTGCTTAGGGTTTTCTCRGTGCACTAAATGTATAATTCTGAATAGTATTATGCATGCTTTATTACATTATGCATTAACTGTCTGGGTTAGACCTCTGCATGACATAGTTCTCCACTGATAATAATATTAAACATTAAGAAACTGGTATACATTAGATGATATACATTAATTGATGCAACATCCTAATTAGGTAGATAAATAAGGGCAGTTATTGCAATGCTAGGGATAACGTAGATGAATGTCAGGGAATGAGAATTATGCAAATCACACAAGAAGTCTGTGTAGAGCTATGTCCYTTTGCACGATATTCCTGTGGTCTTCCCCAATAATCAGATGAACTGGCACTAAAGAATTGCAATAAATTGCAATAAAAGGTGCAAACAATAAGAAGCATTAAGCTGTCTGAAGCTTCTCCAATTGATTGATGTTTCTCATAATTGAATACTTTTAAAGCCACAAGAAATTTGAATTTGAGTTTGTTATTGTTGTTTTTGTTCTCTTAGTATATAGCTTTCTATGGGTCATCTGATTACAGCTTTACTGCACATTTCAACATGTTTAGAGCTGTTCAGAACAATGTAGCAAYGCTTTGTTCTTATGATTTTGTGATGGAGATTTAAATTCTCAGTGTTCAGAAAAAAAATCATTGAAAATACAAGATTTTGTTGAAAAAAGTTCATAATTTCTTCCCAGGTTTTTAACAGTTAAAGGGGAGAGAAACAACACAACACACACAMAAAAAAGCATTATTAGGTTTACTTTTGCTGTTGGAATTTTGTTTACAGATTTTTAGTCTTTATTTGGCATAAACAGGCTACTTTCACTATGTTGACTTTATGTTTTAATTATATATAAAATTTCCACACTGAGAAACAGAGTTTTAACCAGTGCATGTGTTACATAGGTGCCATAGAAACAGGAGCTCTGATAAAACTCATCCTCTCCCATGCAACATATCACAGTAATTCAAATATGCAGCATACATGCACCAAGCTCACCCAAAGACCCCTGTTCTTGGTACGACTTTCGATGCCCTGTCTACTGTGATGTTCTTCAGCACCTTTGTGTTTGCAAATGGATTCCAGCTCAGACTACCCAAGGTTAATCATGCCTGACTGTGATTCACTGCTATGCATTTACCTCGACATTTCTAGTGCACTTACTTAATGATATCRGCGCTAACAACTAGATACCTCTGTGCGCTCTCTTTATTATCCCTCCCACAACTGTTTTCATGCTGAGCTGCTCCACATTTTCCCTCCCTTTCTGCAAGAGAATTAACCAAGATTGAGGGAGGCTTCTATAATTTATGGCAGTTATGCAAGTTTTGTTCTTTGTTAATACTCTATGAGGAGCAAAGAGATCTTGGTACACTTGCTTTTGCCAGGCTGAAAAAGATTTTGATTCTATTCCTCCTTGCACGAGTTTCTACCATCACTTGGAGAAARGTTTGCTCAGGGGAAAACTTCATTCACAGTAGTAATTCAGCAGTTTCCAAGCTGCCTTTCCACAAAGACTAATACTACCATTCCTTGCCCACCAGCCTTTGACTGTCAAAGTCATTTTCATGTCTCTTAATCTCCTTGAAGAAGAAAATCAGAAGTTATTGCTAGAAGAAGTGTCACAGCTATTCTTTCATGATTCTGCCTATTGGCACACATGTGGCCTCTTCATTTCTTGCCTTTTTTTCCTCCCTTATGTCTTGCTCTTTCCATCTTCAGAGTGACACACAGATAGTTATTTAATAATMAAAGACACCTGCTGGTTAAGTTTCTCTTTTGACGGATGGGGAAACTGAGGCATGAGTCTTATAAAGTGCCTCCAGAGAATGGAGAGGAACAGTCCCAAATATAGGAAATCAGTCCAACCAAGCATTGGAAATGCACCGTCCTCTACTTAGAGCCTGAACGGCTTTGACTTTCACATCTGGCTTATGTATGATCTTGAGCCTGACCTTAAATCTCTCAAGCAACAAGTACAGCCTGACTGAGTGCAGGAACTGGAAGAGCCACCCTGATCCCACATCACTTTGCTGAAAGGCCTAGTGTAAGTTATTTAAAGTTAGCCTTGGCTTTCCCCCATCTAAAATAATAATTAGACCGCCATGAAGACTAGTTCATTAATATTTGTACAATGTGTTGAAAAATGTAATGTTCTGTAAAAATAGCTAAGAAT